GTATTTAATGCAATACTTGTGACGTACTTACATTAAAAAGATTATTTGTTGTTTACCTGAAATTGAAAATTAACTGAGTGTCCTGTATTTTTATTTGTTAAATCCGGTGACCCTAGTTCCTGATGAATATACAGGGATTAGCTGAGTAAATTGGGGGAGAAGGGGGAAGGGCATCCCTGTAGAAGGAACAGCATGTGCAAAGACCTGGAGGCGAGGGATCCCGGGCTTCATTTAAGGAACTGAACGTTATCCAATGGCTGGGTATGGTGTGCTAAGTGCCAGGCTCACCGTGAAGTTCTAGGGTGCTGTTGCTGGCCAGACAGACAGACAGACAGCCTCTGCTCTGAGGAAGCTCACAGTTCAGCTGAGGAGCAGTGAGGTGAGGAGCGAGAAGCACAGGCACTGTGGAAGTTGTAGCTGAGGACATCAGCCTGGCTGGGAGGTCAGGAAAGGCCTCTCTGAGTAGGTGACAATATGCTGAAGATGGGGAGACAGGCAGGCCAAGAGCTTGGGGAAGAGTATTTTAGGCTAAGGGAATGGCATAGCAGAGGCCCCAAAGTGAAAAAAAAAAAAAAAATTGCAATGGGTCCCAGATACCAAAATGTGGCCAGATTGGCTGGGGCCCCAGAGAGAGAAGAGAGACAAAAGAGGAGGCTGGAGTAGGGGTCAGGGGCCAGATCACACCGGAGGGAATTTGGGCTGGATCCTGCATGCAATAGGAGCCTTGGATGGAGTTTAAAGCAGACAGAGCGACACACTAGCTTTGTGTTCTTAAAGGTGACTCATGCTGGAGAGAGGAGGGCAGATGGGCATTGTGGGGGCAGAGAGAATGAGGGAGGCCAGGGAGGAGCTACTGCAGATGTCCTAGATGGACAAGTGGGTGGCTTGGCCCAGCGTGATGGTGGTGGAGATGGAGGGAGGAGGAGAGGAAACCCACGCTGCACTGAGGAGGAAGACTTGGCAGGGCTGGGGTATCTAGCACTAGGAAGTGAGGGGTGGGAGGAGCAGTCATGACTCAAAGCTTCTGGGCCGGACAGATGGGAGGATGGTGGCATCATTTGCTGAGCTGAGCTGGGCGCCTGGAGGTTTGGGGGTGGTAGGTGAGAGGATTCAGGCTTGTACACTTTGAAGGTGAGGAGCCTGGTGGTGGACTATTGGAGGATGGACTGTGGAGGCAGAAAAAATGTTGGGAAGAGCTGTGGTCAAAGCTCTCTTCTCACACTTGGCCGTGTCACCTTGAGCACTGACTTCACCTCTCCTTGCCTGTTTTTTGCTCTGTACCTGGGATGATGTGGACAACCTGCACTCAGAGCTGTGGTGAGGGTGTGGTGGGCAGCCTCCAAGATACAGTAACCCCATTGATTCTCACCTCCTGGTATTCACGGCCTTGTGTGGTGACCCCGCACTGTAATAGGGCTGGTCTGTGAGACCACAAGACTCCAGCGATGTCCCTTTCAAGGCTGGGTTAGAAAAGACCTTGTGGTTTCCTGTTTTCCGTTAAATCACTTGCTTTGGGGGATGCCAGCTGCCATGTTGTCAGGAGAGGCTCATGTGAAGAGGAACTACTGCTCCTCCTGAAAACTACAGGCGTGAGCTTAGATGCGAATCCTCCCGCCCCAGCCAAGCCTTCAGATGACTGCAGCCCCAGCTGACATCTAGGCTGCAAGATCTGCTACCTATCTCATCTACTTCCAAATTCTTGACTCCCAGAAACCATGAGATAAGAAATGTTTGTTGTTTTATGTCCTTAAATTTTGGGATAATTTATTATGTGGTGATAGAGAACTGACCCAGAAGGTAAAAGCACTGAGCACAGTCCCTGGCACATAGTTGGGGCTGTAGAATATGCATCTGTAGGTCTGGAGTTGAGAGAGAAGCCTGGGTTTGGGAACCTTTTGGCTTAGAAACAATAATAGAATCCATGGAAGTGTCTGACTCAGTCCACAGAGAGGAAGAGACAGAGAGGAGAGGATGGCCTTGACCGAGCCTGGACATGAGGGGTGGGTAATGGCAGAGGAGGTGCTACAGAGGTAGGAGGAAGAGTAGAGCAGGGTTCGGAAGAGTCTGTCTCTCAGAGGTTGTGGACAACATATCACCCAGGGAGGCCTGAGAGGGGGGGATCTGAGGAGGTTCTTTTGGATTCAGCAACACGATTCCTGGTATCCCCGTAAGAGCTGTGTAGGTGGAGAGGTGGGCCCGGAGACCAGATTGAATGTTGTGGGTTGGGGTGTCAGCATAAATGCTTTCCACCCCTAAGCCCTAAACCAAGATGACTTATAGAAGAAATCAATAGGAAATCCAAATTACAGGAAACTCCAGTCTTACAGAAGCTGCTTTAGTGAAAAAATAATACATCATCAAAGTAAGTTTATTCTAGGAATGCATGGATAGTTTACTGTAATAAAATCCATGATTGTAATACGTTACATTAGGGTGAAAAATCCCACATTTAATACATTTCAATGCCCATTCATAACACAGCAGAATAGTGTTTCTTTACACCAATAAAAGATATCTATAAACAACCTACAACAAACATCATATTCAATGGTGACATGTTAGAAAAGTCAAGAACAAGACAGAAATGTCCACCACCATTACTGCAATTCAACACTGTGCTAGAGATTTTAGTCAGTGAGTAAAACAAGGAAACAGAAATAAAATAGAAGATACTACACTGTCATTACTTGAAGACTGTTTACTTACATAGAAAATTCAAGAGAGCCTATAAACTTAGAACTAAAAGAGTTCAAGTTAGCAAAATATAAGGTTATTAATTAAAAGTCAACCACATTTCAATAACCATCAATCAATACACTATAAAACATAAACTTGAAAATATAATTTATCATAGCAATAAAAACTTTAAGAGGTACGTAAGTTTTGTGAAAACCACTGACAAAGTTTATTCCTTTCTGTTTTTAGTTGGGGAAATGGAAGCTCTGAGGGGGGAAATGACTCTTTGAAGGACACCCCCGATAAGCCAGGGGCAGGTCTGGAGTTTTCAGTGGCACCAAATCCTAGAGATCTGAGTGTTGAATAATTTTGGTATTGTCTTTTTCTTGTTAAAAAACAAAACAAAAAACTCTGATTTGAAAATTTTTTTCTCATTGTAAATTCAATATTGATTCTAAAAATTATAGGAAATTTGGAAGAACATTCAGTAATGTCACTAACATTCCCATGCTACTACCTAGAGAGCTATGATCAAAGATTTCCTTCAAAATATTTGTCTGTATATTTAAGTTTCTAAAAGTAAAATTAGGATTATATTATGCATGTCATTTTGTGCACTGCTCACTTTCTCACACATGTTCCTGTAAAATCACCTAGTCTTTTTGAATTTGATCATATAGCACCCAGTTATGCTGATGAAGCATATGCCATTTATTTAACCTATCAATCTAAGTTTTCAGAGAAAAACCAAGTATCAGATCTGAGTGTGATAATCATTGGATAAAAGTTAAACCTCAGAGCCAGCTCACGCACATGCAGACTGCAACAGGTGAGTTTCTAAGGCAGGTGGTTATCCTGGTGGAGAAGAAATGGCAAAATCAACGTCCCCCCAGGAAGGGGAGAGAGATCTGGTTTGCAGGAGCGAATGGGATTTCGAAGGAGCCTATTCTTGGAGACAAATTAGGTCTGAGACTTTTACCTAATTCCCCACCCTCTGCAGTCTTGGCTTCCTTCCTGGTGAAAAGAGGACAATATGGTGCCCAGACTCTAGTAAGACCAGCTCCTTTAGGCCTCAGACCCTCTGCACCGGTCCTTCCTTTCTGCCGAAGTCAGCTCTGCCCTTTTTCTTCCTATCTGGCCGCCCAGGTTGTCCCTTCAGGCCTGGCGGCCCTTCCCTGCCCTGCCCACCAGGCCTGACAGGTGACCTTATTAGAGTCGCCTGCCCCACGGAGGGCAAGGCCAGGAGGTCCTCCGCCACAAGCAGAGTGTCCAGGTCTTTCTTGGCCATTGCATCTGAAGCAGAGTCCTCCCTTTATTCTCCACCTAATTCCTTTGATCATGCGCCTCCCAACACATCATAACTTGTCAGCATTTTGTCTGCCGGCTGTTTCTTGGGTCTTGTCTGTTTTCTTCTCTACTTAGGACCCCCTCCATCCTGCTGGCCGCTGTACCCCCTAGGCCTGGCATATGGCCGGGACCCCACGCATGTTCGTGGGAAGTCAACCGAGCAGCAGTGGGGACCCTAGGTCCGAGGGCGCACGCGGTGAAGGTTGCGGGAGGGCTGGGCTGATCCCAAATTTCAGGCGGAGGCTGGACGTAGGGGCGGGCTCTGGGCGGGGCTTCGGGTTTCAGGGCGGGGCCTGGGGCGGGGCCTGGGGCGGGGCCCGGGGCTGCGGCGGAGCCTGCCTGACTGCGGACAGGCTGAGCCCTGGGAAGTGCCTCGCCCCGGCCCCTGGCCTCCCGCTCGCGCCGCCGGAAGAGGGCGCCAGCTCTCGTGGCGCCGCGGCTCTGCTGGGAGGCGCCTCCCGCGCCGCGCGGCTGGAGCCGCAACTCCGGGCGCGGGCTCAGTCGTCCCTCCGCCGCCGCCGCCGCTGCCGGGCGCGGGCTCGCTGGTCCTCGCGCTCGTGCTCTCGGCCGCCGGTGTCTACCGGCGCGGCCGCCGCCGCCTGCAGTGAGTGGGGGCGGGCCGGGGGCTGGGGGCCTGGGGCTGGGGGGGCCGGGCACCGGGAGGAGCCCGGGAGGAGCGGCCGGCCGAGCGCGGCGGAGAGAACGGCGGTGGCGGGCCGCGCCGAGGGCAGCCCGGGAGCCGGCGGCGCGCTCTGGGGCTGGCACGGGCCCGCGGCGGGCTGCCCGCGGCCGAGCGGCCGGGCTCGGGCGGGGGTTCCGGGCCCGCCCGGCGGGACGCGTGGTGACGGCGTTCCCGGGTCGGGCTCCGGTGCGCTCCCCCCGCCCAGGCCCCAGCATCTCGCGTCCCACGCCGGGGCCGCGGGGTCGGGCGGGTGGGGTGGGGACTTGGTCTGCGGGGCAACCGCGGGGCGCCGCCCGGCCGGGCACCTCGGGGTGCTCGACAAGGATTGTTTTGGGGGTGCTGCTGCTTAGTCCCGTTTGCCCTAATTTAAAGCCTGCGGGAGGGCTTCCGAGCCCCGCCTCGGGAGTTTCTGCCCCAGAGACACTGCCTGCGGCCGAGCTGCTGACACCCAGGTGTGTGTCAGCCCTGGTGTCGCTCCAGGTCGGGGTGAGAGGTGGCCGTGGCCGTGGGGAGCCCCGCGCACCTGCCGCGCCGGCGCTGGTGGAGGCTGTCCCAGGGGTAGACGGGAGAAATGAAACAGATCCCGTTTGGATATTTTGCTGAAGTTAACAAGTTTCTGTTCAAGTTTAGCAGTTCTAGACCAAGTTCATAAACCCAGCTTGAGGACGTGGTGGTGGCTGAGGTTTGGGCGCAGAGAGACCGGGGTGACCCGGTTTGGCTCAGGATGTTCGGGGCCGCCCGAGCGCCTCTGACCTCCTCCCCCGGGCATGTGCATCTTCTCGCTGTCACCAGGGCCGAGTGCGCGCATGGCTCCGGGAGAGGAGGGAAGCTGGGGTTCAGTGTTGAGCACAGGCCTGGTGTCTTCGCAGGAACCAGGTGTATCTAGGTCCTTGATTCTAGGAAAAGGACAATCTTTACCCAAGGGGTTGGTAGGGAGAGAGAGCTTGCTGGTTGGTTGAGAATCCTCAGTCCATACTCACCCTCATTCTGGGCAGTGCCCTAGCTAGTCAGGGTTGAGTGGTCAGGACAGATGCCATTCCTTCGTTTGTGTGATTTGAATTTCCATAAGTCATGTTTAACCCAAAGCATCACTACGGAAAGGAATCCTAAGGTGGATCTTTCTATGAGTCCCTCAGTGTGTCTTAGAGATTGTGGTATGTGGAGGCTACTTAAGATGGAATACGCATATTTATTTATTTGATTCATCTTAACCTTGGAGATAATCCTGAGTCATGCTTTGACAAGTCCCCTCTGTGGTCAGGAGCTCAGGCGTCTGGTGGTCTCTGTGAGAGCGGGATGCTCCCCTGAACCTGTAGTTCTCCCCTCTGGGGCTCCGGGGAGATTGGAAGCGGATTAAGAGGTCTTTGGTATTTGCCCTGCCTTCATGCCAGTGCTCTAAATTACTTGTGTTCACAGTCTCAAGTTTCTTAATTTACCATAGAAATTTTGTTTATACTGCCACTAGCATTTTCATATTTGTTTAGCACTTGCCAGTTTACAAATGGTTTTCTATTCATGATCTCGCTTATTTTCTCCTCTGCGAAGAGGCAGCTGGGCATGAGGACTGACTTAATCAGGGTCTCATAGGTAGAATTGGAGCAGAATTGGGATGCAGTCTTCACGCATTCTCTTTCCTCTGCACTGGCCTGCATGTGACTTCAGAACCCTAGTCCTGACCTGCTCCCCTGTAGGTCACTTGTTGCCTTTGTATTGTGCCTACGCGGTATTACTTTGGGGAAGGTGCTGTTATCCTGTTTCATCCTGTAGACACTGGGGGAGAGTAAGAGGAATTTAGTGATTTTGTGATTATTTGTGACAGCTTTTTAGTATTAAGGACAGTTTTCACCTGAGAGAGCCTTTCTTCTACACCACCTGGGGGGAAGAGAGAGAAGAAAGAATTGGTTTTGGGGAAAAACAATCCATTCCCTTAGTGGTGTGGTTAAGGATAACCTGGCATCACACTCACATTCTCCTGGTGCACCTGGCTGCTTGTGCCAGCCTGCATGCGAATGTTAACCCAGAAGACTCCTTTAGATGTCGCTGGACTCGTTACTATGAAAAGTATTTCACTTTCAAACTCCCACGTTTCAACAACAGAGCAATTCAGTACAAAGGTAATTTGCAGGTATGCACAGATGGAATTTATTGAGTCTCCTGAATGCCAGGCACCAGGCACGAAGATTTAATCGAAAGGCATTTTAAAAGGGCTACCAGGAAACCGTGGAAAGGCAGTAGCTATAGGTTTTATTATTATTCAAGTTTGGGGGATAGTGTGTATTGCAATCTATAGGTTGTCAGATAGGAGTAGAACTTTTGCCCTAGAGCAGTGGTTTTCAACCTTCTGGCCCTTTAAATACAGTTCCTCATGTTGTGACCCAACCATAAAATTATTTTCGTTGCTACTTCATAACTGTAATGTTGCTACTGTTATGAATTGTAATGTAAATATCTGATATGCAGGATGGTCTTAGGCAACCCCTGTGAAAGGATCGTTTGACCGCCAAAGGGGTTGCGACCCACAGGTTGAGAACCGATGCCCTAGAGGCTTCTTAGTCTGTAACTGAAGTGTTAGACCCAGAATCTTTGAGTTAAATTAGTTCAGCATAACCATGAAGCCTGTCATTGCAGTTGTGCAGTAGTGAGGAAAATGGCCTTCAGGGGTTCTTGGGTTTTTCTTTTAAGGTATTGTTTAATTGTGTATTTTCCACATTTGCTACTTCAGAAAATTCTTAGCATGTTATCTTAAGGCTTTGATAAATTCTTTAGCATTTTCCTTAATTATCTGCTAACAGAATTGATACATTAGTCATAATTAACCTTTGAAGCTTAAATGTGGGCGAATTTTTAGTACTGTTTTATATTTTTAGGGAATGGTCACCCAGTTGTTGCCACAAGAATTTTATTTGGGCCAAAGCTCAGATTTTTCCAGGTGAACTGATTTTACAGGTTCTGGAGCCTTTCTTTGAACTTTATAATTGTGCTCATTGCATCCACTGTAGTTTACTGGAAAACGATCTTTTAGTAAGGCAGGTCACTTTAAAGGCAATTTTTTTTCATTGTTATCCTCATAATCTCTATTCCTGGCAAATTTTCTGAAATATTAGGTTTTTCTTTGTCTTAATCAAGTAAAACAAGCCCGTTTGATGTCCATTTCAAGATCTTCCTTCTGCTGCCCATCTTGCGGTCGTTTAGCTTCTTATTAAGCCCTCCCTTGGAGACTGCCAGAAGGGAGAGAAGATGAAAAGAAAATAAGTCATTTTCTAATTGTTAGCAGCTCTGGAAAATGATTTAGAAGAGATTGAAACTGTCCCAGAAATTCTTTTGGATTATGTTCTATTTCATTCATCTGCATTGTTTCTCTGATGTTCCTAATAGTTATCAATTCAGAGGCCAATTATCCAGCTATTGGAAGACCAGGAACCTTCCAGCTTTGTTTCTTGCTGTATCTAAGCATCTCCCAGAGGATATTTAGAAGTAAGGAGTAAAGATAAAATTCAAGCAATATTATTTTTCCCTTAGAGCTCTTTAGTGAACAGTTTGATTTTTTTTGATAGTGTAGTCATTGTTATTGGAAGTGGCTTTATTTATTTTGATGTGTCTTATACACAAGTGTAAGGAGGCTTTTGGGTGCTTTTTAAGATTCCCATAATTGCTTCCCTGAATTATTAAGCTTGAGGGCATTACATCTTTGTACCGGAACAGAACCTTGGCTTTTGCTGTAGAACAGGTTCAGGGGCAGCATCTAATTTTCTTTTTATGATTGCTTAAGAAGTTATCTTGTTTTGATTTAGCAGTAAAAAAAGAGGGGGGAAGGATTAGTAGTGGACAGACCTGTGTAACAGCTGTAACACTCACATGTCTGTTTTGTTTCCTTGTCTTGGCCCCCATTTCTCATTTAACCATTTGGACATTGCTCTATTGGAGTCCTTTACTTACTTATAGACAGGACAGCAGCCTTCAGTCACGCCAGGGCAAGCATGCCAAACTCGGGCCCGCAGGCCGCATGTGGCCCACAGGGAATATTTTTGCGGCCCAGCTAATATAATGGTATGTAAGAAACTTTTTAATAAAAAGTTAGTAACTTAATTTTTACAATATCTTGTTATACATAATTATTAATAACGAACTACAATGTTCGCTAATGACTGATTACAAGAATCGTGTTGCATTCATTTCCCTTACGTGCCGGCACCATTTCTCTCCACTAGTACTAGCAGCGAATATTTTAGCAGCCGACTGCCACATCATTAGTCTTGGACTGACTTGTTTGGTGTGCGCAACAGGAAATATTTCGCTTTCGGAGAACAAGAGAAATAGGCTTATTTGCATTACGCTTATTAATTTGTGCAGTTATTCAGTGTCTGGTAAGTTAATGTTCAAGAAAAAATATTAATTTTTATTAAAATGTTCTATTATTTTATGAATGATGACTTATTTATGTCAGCCCTTTGTATTCAGCATGTCTCTATCGAAATAAACCTACGATTCTATGAAAATTGAAGCTTTTGTTTTTTTGTGGCCCAAATAAACTTAAACCTTGCTTATTTGGCCTGTGTTAGCCTTTGAGTTTGACATGCTTGCACTAGGGCAGTGATGGCGAACCTTTTGAGCTCGGTGTGTCAGCATTTTGAAAAACCCTTAACTCTGGTGCCGTGTCACATATAGAAATTTTTTGATATTTGCAACCATAGTAAAACAAAGACATATTTTTGATACTTATTTTATATATTTAAGTGCCATTTAACAAAGAAAAATCAACCAAAAAAATGAGTTCGCCATCACTGCACTAGGGAGTAGGTTCTTGATGGTTTGACTCGGGAATTTTTACAAACCCATTATGACTGCTCATTGACTAGTAAACTGAGTGACTGTTAGCATTTGTAACTAAAACCTTAGGAGGTGAATAAGGTTAATAGACAGCTGTAGGAGGTCTAAAGTTAATCCTTTCAGTTTCTTGTTTCTTGGATTCTCTTCCTTCTGTTTCTACCCAAGGAGGGGATTCATGGAAAGATCTAAACAAGGAGTCAGAAAACTTAAGCTCTTAATCAGCTCTTTCCAGCTATGAGGCCTAGAGCAAATCCCTATCTGCTGTTCCTCTATTTTGATCTATAAAATGGGGATAGTAATTCATGCACTGCTTGCTGTATCAGGAATGTTGTATCAGGAAGCTCTCCTCCCCCTTTTACTTAAAATGTTTCTTCATTCTAGAGACCCTTCTAGAATGGTCCAGGTTGTCCAGCTATTCCTGCAGAGGTCTACTGAGGGAGTTCTTCCCAGAAGTCCTCCATTTTCCCGTTTGGAACTGTTCTTGCTCTTTCTCCAGAAGGCCTCTGGCAGTCTGTATGTTACAAAGCACTTTGAATTCTGTGCTGCACTTTGTGGGGAGCCGATATAGGGTTAAGCCTCGGACTGACCTGTTAGCAAAATCACAAACAAGTCTTCTTCCGAGTCTTAACCCAATCCGAGAGGTGGCCGCTGATTTACATGCGCTGTCATTTAAAAAATAAAAATGGGGGAATTTGCCGGACGCCGGTCCACCCTTGCTGCTTGACACAAGTCGCTGCAGGGAAGAAACATCTGCACAGCTTATGTTTCAAGGGACCTGGCGTATATGGCATATGTTTGCTCCCCCTCTTAGAGCTATGTGTTTTAAACAGGACCACCTCCCCGAGAAAGGTTGTTTCCCCAGGTGAGGATTTTTCCCTGGAGTTAGGGATTAACAGGACTAAGACTGTTGGCAATAAATTTGGGACTTGGGCCCACATCCCCAGGGGTCTGCCCACCAAGGAAAACACCAAAGCCTGTACCCCTGGAGACCCACCAACACAGGGCAATCCCAGGACAGGCAAACAGCGGGGCTGGGAGGACATAACCTTTACTGGGTAGGATAATCTCCTTCAGCCACTTCCTTGTAGTTTATCAGTAAAGCAGTAGAACAGTGACCTTGGAATAGCCCTTATAATGAAACACAGAGATTAACCTAGACAAGATTAAAATCAACAGGACTAGATAGAGACAGGATTTTTGGCAAAGGTCAGATAAGAAACTATGGAAATGAAACAAGGAACAGTAGAAGGTTACCCAAAACAAACATAATATGATGTGATTATAGAGGCATGCTTATAGGATCAAATGGTATAAATACAGATGTAACAGGACAATAAAAGAGAGAACCTGGCTATGCTGACAACTGACTGCTGTCTCCGTGTCATTCCTTCTTCTCCGACTCTGTCCACACCTTTGGGAACCCCTGGACCTGCTGGGGCTGGACCCCAACAGCACTTCAGGTGTTGCATGTTGCCTTTCTTCATAGATTGAAGGCAGGGATTTTACTTTTCCTGTTTCCTGTATCCACATTGCACCTAATGTCTACTGACCTACAGTAAATGTTGCTTGAATTATTTTTGAGGCTGTCAGGAATGAATGCTTTTGGTGATGGGAAGATGCCAAAGAGGGGCATCTTACAAAACCTTTGGATGACTGGTCTTTTAAATTGTTACTTACCTGTCTGTTTTATCAGTAACGGAATCAGATGCTAATAATACAGATTGGTAAAGCCTGTTTTTGTTGTTGTTCTCTTCAAATACTGTTTGTGAAACAAGTCAGGAATGAAAGCTTGTCACAGCCCTGAAATTTGACATTTGTTCTATTTCTCACCCTGTAGCATGTGGAGGCCTATCTATATCCAACTGCTGAGTGTGGTATCAGAATAAAAACGAACTGTGCGTTGTCTGGCCCACATTTTAGCTTGTTTGCTTTGAAAAATTTTTGAGGTGGAGAAATAGATGCTTCAGGCTCTGATTTCAGCCCATGCTGTGCTATGCAAATGTTCTCTACATGCCTGAGTGACCTTTTGAGAAAGAGCCTTTGTGATCTTCTGTAGCCAGGCCTGTTCTGGGAATAGTGTGCCAGATTCCTCTAAAAGTGGGAAAAGTGAATCTGTTGAAAGACCACATAAAGGAGCCAGTGCTTTTCCGATAACTCCATGCTTCTTATTGTCTCTTGTCAGAGCTTTTGAAACTGCTTTGCTGGTTGATTGGGGAATGATGTGCCTGAGAGCGTACTGACTAAAGCAGTTCAGTAGCTGGCAAACTGTTTGCTTAAGTGATTTGGAATTGTAGGTAAATTCAAACTGGCATCATTAGTATCTGGTGTTTATCAGTGTCTTCAGGCTGGCTCTCCCAAGTGCCAGCTGAGTGACTCTCAAGCCGATTTGTAAGGTTCTTCTTGCCCCCAAATTTGCTCTAATGTTTTGGCATTTAAATTATTTTCTATTTGTTTTGATTATTGTATAAATGAAATGTATCAGTATTAAAAGTACACTTAGTTTTTTATGTTATGAAAGAAATGCCATCCTGATGGTATTTCTCTTGCGAAGTGATACTGATATCTTGGAGGTCTAAGGTTTTTAACGCTTTTACTGAGATGTTTAGTTTGTATAGCTGAAATGCTGATGAAAAAGAGTCCCCCCCCCCCCCAACCTCTCTCTTAAACAACCTTTTTGGTAAGGATCATGATAGGTTTGTACAAGGATAAGGCTGTAGAGTTAATTGTAATGTTCTCCCATAGAATTCTAAAAATTGAATTTTCAGAGAAGATAGGTAGAATTTGAATGACTAATTTACTTCCTAGCCTCTTCCTTGTTCCCTAAGTATAGGATCATTCTTTCTTGTAGAGGTTAGGTGCATGTTGTGGGAAGGAAGTGCGCCCATAGAGTGCTCTGAAGCAGCAATTTTCAACCTTTTCCATCTCATGGCACACATAAACTAATTACTAAAATTCTGTGGCACCCCAAATATTATAGGTCAAATCTCAGTTCTAGAATGTTTCCCATCTCAAACAATTCAGTTCTTTTTTTTTTTTTTAAATATATTTTATTGATTTTTTACAGAGAGGAAGAGAGAGGGATAGAGAGTTAGGAACATCGATGAGAGAGAAACATCGATCAGCTGCCTCCTCCTGCACACCCCCTACTGGGGATGTGCCCGCAACCAAGGTACATGCCCTTGACTGGACCCGAACCTGGGACTCTTCAGTCTGCAGGCCGAAGCTCTAGCCACTGAGCCAAACAGGTTAGGGCAAACAATTCAGTTCTTGATGAAGTTGTTCATGTAAAACTTTGGTTCTCGACCCAAAACCCTTTCCTGCTGATACCTGTATGATCAGTCACATGTCTCTCGGGCGACAAAGGAGAGAATGTGTGTGTGAGTTAGTTTACCACTAACTCACATGTTAACATCCCAGGAAATTGTGCTGTGAAGATTTTTGTGGTTTTTTTATTTGTTTGTTTTGCTTTTGAGCGTCTGGAATGGATTAATTCAATTTACATTACGTATTTCTAATGGGAAAAAATGATTTTGTTTTCGAACAAATTACTCCTTGAACAGCCTTAGGGAACAAATTAAGTTTGAGAACCGAGATTCCACTGTATACTATATTTTTTGCCGATCTGACAAAAAAATAGGTATAATTTAAAAATAAATATTTTTATTGATTTTAGAGAGAGAGGAAGGGAAAGGGAGAGAGATAGAAACATCAGTGATGAAAGGGAATCATCGATTGGCTGCATGCCTCCTTACTGGGGATTGAGCCAGTAACCTGGGCATGTGCTCTGACCAGAAATCAAACTGACCCCTGGTTCATAGGAATCGAACTGTATGTCTTGGTTCATTGGTTGAGGCTCAACGACTGAGCAACACCGGTCAGACAAAATAGGTGTAATTTTGATTTGTTCACACTGGATGTCTATTATTGTGTTGGTTGTCATTTTTTTAATTTGACAATCTAAGGGAAAAGAGGTCAGTGCCCCTGACTAAAGAGTCGGGTGTTGCATATATATTTGTTAATCCTCAACCAAGGATAGTTTTCCCCAGTGATTTTTTTTTTTTTTTTTTTTAGAGAGAGTGGCAGGGAAGGAGAGAGAGAGAGAGAGAGAGAGAGAGAGAGAGAGAGAGAGAGAGAGAGAGAGAATGAATGAGAATCATCAATGTGAGAGAGACACATCAATTGGTTGTCTCCCACAGGCGCCCTGACCAGGGCTGAGGATCGAACCTGCAACCCAAGTACATGCCCTTGACTGGGAATTGAACCTGTAACCCTTTGGTCCAAAGACTGACTCTCTAACCAGCCAGGGCGGAATTGCATATTTTAAAAATTCTTGTAGCACCTGATTGAAAATTGCTGCTCTGGAGGAATGCTTCCCTAGATCTTTGCCCTGTAGCAGGTTTTAATTGAGCAAAGATGAGTAGTTTTCTCATGTTTCCGCCTGCTCTGTGAAGTGGAAAAATCTTTCCTCTCTGTTTTCATGGTTACATGTGCTGTCTTGTCTTTTTCTCCTCCCCAAGTTTTCCTGGAACCTGGGCTCCCCAGACGCAGCGCTGGAGCAGATGGATAATGGAGACTGGGGCTATATGGTGAGATGCTTTTGCAGATGCCTTTTGAAGGCTGTCAAATTATTTTTGTGCTAGAAGCCTGGTGCATGAATTTGTGCACAGGTGGGCTCTGGCTGGCCCGCTCAGCTCCATGGGGTGGTGGGTGATCAGGGATGGGGCTGGCCAGGGGGAGGGGCTGTTGGCTGGCCGGCTCCGCCCCCTGGTTGAACTCCCGGTCGTACTCCCAGTTGAGGGGACAATTTGCATATTAGCCTATTATTATATAGGATATTATATAAGATGTCTTTCCCCCTTATGTATTCTTAGGTATCATACACCTTGTAAGAATGAAAATTATTGGTATATCTCCCCTTAATTAGTTTAGATGTGTTTTGGGGTGTTTGGTGTTTTTATGTAAGCAAACTCAACATAGACTTCAGAGTAACTTTATTTGGGAGAGATCATGACTTTTGGTCTTTAAGTTTATTGCCATTAATACTCTTCCTTCATAAAAAGTGACTATGAAAAGGGTCCAGTGGGGAATGGTACACAGAGCAGCGGTCGCCGACCTCATGGACCACTGGTTGCCGACCGCTGGTGCAGAGGACATTTCCTTGTGGTTAGGGAGGTTACTACCATTGAGAAGGTGCCACTTTTCCCACTGGTGTGTGCATATCTTCCTATTTTCCTTTTACTTTGTTAAGAAATATTTTACCTGCCTAGTAACTGAAGTCTGTCAGTCTGTCTTTATATTTTTTCTTAAATATGATTTCTAAAACTGAAGGTATATATTATTTAGAGAAGCTTGCTTTTCAAAATTAAAGAGCAGGTTGCAACATTAATGTTACAAAAGTGAATACAGTATCAGATTTTGAAATTTGAAAGTTGCTGTTAGCTTTTGGGTATATGAGATTGTGCTGATCAAACTGTGTATTTTAACTTAGTATATGGCACTGTTATTGCCATGAAAAAGTTAAGAGGTCTGCACAAATTTTATCTTTTAAAAAAATTTCATGATTCCCCACCCCCTTTTGAGAGAAGAGTAAACAGAAGAAATATTGAAACTAGATTCTTTTCATTATCAAATCATTCTTTGGCCTATTTTTTGTCAAATTGAGTTAAGAAAAATGACTCTTCTATTTTTTAAAAAATGTTTTTTATTGACTTTTTAGAGTGAGAGGAAGGGAGAGGGAGAGAGAAACAACAATCACGCCTCCTTTGCGCCCCCTACTGGGAACTGAACCTGAAACCTGGGCATATGCCCTGACCAGGAATCTAACCAGTGACCTCTCTGTGCAGAGATGACACTCAACTAACTGAGCCACAGCAGCCAGAACAAGTCTCTTTTTTAAAGCAGAAAGAAACTTAGTTTATTTTAGTTTGGCCTTTGTCTTTGTAATATACTCTCACTGAAACTTCTCTTTAGATACTGGGGCTGAAATTAAATGGCTTTGGAAGTGATGCCTTTGTTTCTTAGTACATATGTCTTTGAAGAAATAGAGTTATCCCCTATTGAAAGCATATGTTAGATCCCTGCATCCAGGAGGGTTTATCACTGAAATTAAAGCTATTTTGCAGAATAGATTGCTAAATACACATAGCTGGAAGGAATCTTTTGCTTTGCTTGTTACCATTTTTCTTAATTTGTCAAAGTTAGGATTTTAAAAATTTCAGGTGACTAATCATTTTTTACAAAATTTCAGATGACTGACCCAGTCACGTTAAATGTAGGTGGACACTTGTACACAACGTCTCTCACCACATTGACCCGATACCCGGATTCCATGCTTGGAGCTATGTTTGGGGGGGACTTCCCCACAGCTCGAGACCCTCAAGGCAATTACTTCATTGATCGAGATGGACCTCTTTTCAGATATGTCCTCAACTTCTTAAGAACTTCAGAGTTGACCTTACCCCTGGATTTTAAGGAGTTCGATCTGCTTCGAAAAGAAGCAGACTTTTATCAGATTGAGCCCTTGATTCAGTGTCTCAATGACCCTAAGCCTTTGTATCCTATGGATACTTTTGAAGAAGTGGTGGAATTATCTAGCACTCGGAAGCTTTCTAAGTACTCCAATCCAGTAGCTGTCATCATCACCCAGCTAACCATCACCACCAAGGTCCATTCCCTCTTAGAAGGCATCTCAAACTATTTTACCAAGTGGAATAAGCACATGATGGACACCAGAGACTGCCAGGTCTCCTTCACCTTTGGACCCTGTGATTATCACCAGGAGGTGTCTCTCCGGGTCCACCTGATGGAATACATCACAAAACAAGGCTTCACGATCCGCAACACCCGGGTGCATCACATGAGTGAGCGGGCCAATGAGAACACAGTGGAGCACAACTGGACTTTCTGTAGGCTGGCCCGGAAGACAGACGATTGAGCTCCATCCCGGGGGAGTTCCTGGACACCGACTTTCCAGGATATGGAAGAGACTGGAGACTGATTTTTTTTTTTTTTGTGGGATTTAAAAAAAGTGTTTTTGGTATTTATTTGAAGGCATTGAGGAGCAGAAGGAAGTTTTGTGCTTTAATGGATTCCTCTATGTTCATTCCCTTCACCCTGAGTATGCATGTGCCTGTTCAGAGCCTCCAGATAACTTTTTTATAAAAAGAAGTCTGAAAATTATTATGGTATATAAACCCTTAACAGAGCTTTTTTTTATTACAGTGCTAAAATGATTTCTGATTAAATGGTCCCTAACTCAACTAGAGGCTCAAAAATATAGGAATGAAAGAATAAACAAAGTGAGTACTCCTGATGCTTTTGACAAAAATCAAAACATCATGTAGGGTGACCTAGTTTCCACACCAATAAGCAGTATTGTAATATTAAAAGAAAACTGTTCCAATCATTTAAAAGTACTTGTTAAGTACTGCTTTTTACAGTTATGACAACTGTTTCTTTCTATGCATATAAATCAAGCAACCAAATATCTGTAGCCATGGAAATGTCTGACTAGAAATATTTATATTGGATTCTGAATACAAAATGTCCCTGTGGTAGAAATCTTACTTCTTATGCCTGGTGCAGTATAATTCCCAAGTGTACTGTCTACCAGAAAAAAATGAATAAAAAATGAAGTAGAAAAATTAGGTTTATATTTATTGACTACTGTTACTTAAGGGGAAAATCATATTTCTTGTCTCTAAAGTATGCATTGTTTGTTTTATGTACCAACATACACTGCACTGCCAAAGCACACTTGTATTTGACTCAAGAGGACTCAGTGGTACCCTTGGATGCAGTTTGTAGAACTCTACTGTGTTATTAAGCAGGAATAGGTGGAATTACTAATTTTGTTAAAACAGTACAATTTGAACAGTGAACATATAATTTGACAAATTAAGTAGGAATTATGTTGAAGATTAAAGATTTTTCTTCAATAAGCCTCCATTTGTCATAGCCCTGGATATGACCCTTATCGGAGTTTTGTGTTGAGTATTGGAACAAACTGACTCTTCAGCCACTTTATTCTCTTACACAGTGGAACCTCAGTTCTCAAACTTAATTCATTCCGGAAGGCTATTCAGGAAGCAATTTGTTTGAACACCAAATCATTTTCCCCCATTAGAAATAATGTAAATCGAATCAATCTGTTTCAGACCACTATAAGCAAAAACACATGAAACTTCACAGCACAATTTCCTGAGATGTTAACTCGAGTGTTAGCCATAAACTGACTCACACTCACGCATTCTCTTCTTTGTCGCCTGAGAGACACATGATTGATCATGTGTTGAAAGGGTTGTTGGATTGGAACCAAAGTTTTATTCGACAACCCAGATATTCTGTGAACAACTTAGTCGAGAACCCAGTTATTTGAGATGGGAGGTGTTCCAGAACCGAGGTTTTGACTGTATGTGGTAACCCACAAATTATTTTATTATTAAAGTTAAATCTGTTTCTGAGGAGAGGAAATAAACTGCAGTGAATGAAGGATCTGGACTAGGTATGTGTATTTGTTTCTCAGTAGTCTTTATTTTGCATAGTTCGTTTGATTCTATTTCTTGGAAGTTACTCACAGGAAGGTTTATGTTAACTATAGTGAGACTTCCTGGTTTGTTGGAACACCTTCTAAAAGGAAGTGTGTATTTTTAAAAATTTTTTTTATTGACTATTACATATGTGTCCTTATCCCCACATTATCCACCCCCCCCCCCCCCCCCCCCGCTCATGCCCTCACCCCCCTGTTGTCTGTGTCCATTGGTTAGGTCTGTATGCTAGCATATAAGTCCTTTGGTTGATCTCTCTCCCTTACCCCCACCCTCCCCTACCTTCCCTCTGAGGTTTGACGGTCTGATTGATGCTTCTCTGTCTCTGGATCTGTTTTTGTTCATTAGTTTATGTTGTTCATTATATTCCACAAATGAGTGAGATTATGTGATATTTATCCTTCTCTGACTGGCCTTTTTCACTTAGCATAATGCTCGCCAGTTCCATCCATGCTGTTGCAAATGGTAAGAACTACTTTTTTACTGCTGCATAGTATTCCATTGTGTAGGTGTGTAATGCCTTCCCTGTTCTGTGGGAGGAAGGTTCTCAGGCTGTGTGTTCTAGGGCCAGCCACTCCTCTTCTCTGAGATTCTGCCTCTGAAAGGATTTTGAAAACACCATCCGTGTTTGCCCAGGTCTCTGAAAATTTACCTTAAGATTTGACAAATGACCAACATTCAGAAACCTGTAAGTACCCCATTTTCACCATCTTCAAGCTAAAACTCCTTAATGGTACTAACCGGTTGCTGTGGTTTCAGTAAATGTACTAGTATGAAGTTATCTCTTTAGAAAATGGTCTCCGACTTCAGGTTGCTCAGTGGTTACCTAAGACAGAACCAACCCAGCCACTTAGGTGTTGGTAAGCTAGCTGAGGTGAACGTGAGAAAAAAGGATTTGGCTTGAGAACAGGTTATGGAAATGGGAATAATGTTTGGCCTTCCAAGGTTTTAAAAGTTAAAAACTTTTGAGGTCTCTTCTTTGTTCAGTTTACTGGAGATAAGTTTGCTTTTGGTAAAATTTCACAGATTTATTAATTATTAATAAAATGATTACTTATATGGGTAAATTAGGAAAAATAGCCAGCTGAGAGATTTTGCAATTTGAGCATTTAATTTTGAGTGTTTTATTTGCTTAAGCAACTGAAAATGATATGAAAATGTAGCTTGAGTATATTTGGGTAATTTGAGCAATTATGTCTTTTATAAGTTTTAATTTTCTGTGGAAAGGTTGATTTTTCAAAATTGATACTTAGTTGAAGTCTTAGGGCTGTACATTTTATTTAGATTATAAGTATAGGCACTTTTGGAGAAAGGTTGTGTGGGTGCATGTGTATGTCCTTTTAAAGTTTAAACCCTTAGATAAATGTGAGCTGTAGGCACAAATGATAACTAATGAACCTATTAGCTTTTGCTAGATCAAAAACAAAACCTGGGATTTAACAAAATAGATGCTACAATTGGATAATACTACTGTGTTTTATTGTAGGAAGTGCCAAACATACTTAGAAGAGAGAATTGTTTAAACAACAGTATACCCAATGACCAGCATCCACAACTATTCTCTCCCCTTTTTTCCTCTCATGGATTTTGAAGTAAACCACAGATGTTTCTTTCACTTCAGACTGTCTCTCTAGAAAATAATGACTTTCTTTAAAAAATACATACACATATGTACTTTAAAGTTTTAACGCCATATTTGCCATACTACCATTATCACAGAGTGGTGCTTCTTTATTTTTTTAATATATTTCTTTATTGATTTCAGAGAGGAAGGGAGAGGGAAAGAGAGATAGAAACACCAATGATGTGAGAGAATCATCGATCGGCCGCCTCCTGCACAGCCCCCACTGAGAACTGAGCCCGCAACCCAGGCATGTGCCCCTGGCCAGAATCAAACCCGGGACCCTTCAGTCCGCAGGCCGATGCTCCATCCACTGAGCCAAGCCGGCCAGGGCAAGTGGTGCTTCTTGAATGCTGCTGATGATTTCATAGCTTGGATCTCCAACTTTGTAGTAGTGGTCTTAGATATTTCTGGTAGGCAGGGTTCCCCTGTTGTAGAAAGAAGTGCATTAGTAAGACAGAATATTTCTGTCAGGATTAATAACTTTTCAAATTAAGTTGGGTTTTTTTGTTTCAAAATGAACATTACATAAGATTTTTAATTTTAAAAATTATTTTTAAAATTCATTTTGTGTGAACATATGGAGAAACATTTTTTTTCCAAAGGGCATCCTTCATTTTCTCCAGCAGATTTTAAATTGTGGATGCAGGTGGCCAATTAAAAAACACAGTTATCATTTGCTTTTGGAATTTAACACAAATAAAAGGCTCGACTCTAAGGCTCCTTGAAATGGAACATTAACCATAAAGGAATCAGAACGGTGGAATCAGGTAAGCAATATAATATGTCACAATAGGTTATCCCTATTATTTTCTGATGTCTTGATTTGTTCCTTCTCAGCCCTCTCTCATCCATGTAACATTTACTTGTGTCTTTTTTGCCTGTCTAGGTTAAACTGTAAGCTCCTTGAGTGACTCTTGATCTCTACTGTATTCTTAGTACCTAGAAAAGTTTCTGGCATATATTGTATGTTCAGTAAATATGTTGAATGATTGAATTAATCAGTAGGTGTATTTAAGGCATCTAGCAACTACTTGGACAGACTTTTACAATAGAATAATTGGGGGGAAATAGGATTCTTGTTTTGAAATTATCCCCAATGTTTCCTCCACTGCTTGCATCTGTAGGGAATCACTTTGATATGAGTTCATGTGGGGAGGGGCAGCAGCCTTTTGCTGTTCACTCTGGAAAGGCTGGCTTGAAATGGCCAGATCAGGAAAAAAGCCAAAAAACCAGACTCATGGCTCAAATAAACCTCGGGAGGGCAAATCACCCAGTCCCGGCATGAAGCTCATCACCCACCTGCCCAGACAGAAGAGAGACTAGCTTAGGGCTCTACAACACGTAACTTAGCATAGCACCTTTCTTTTGATAGAAAATGTCAGTGACATATATTCTCATTTGTCTGCAAGGTTTGTTTTAACGTAGCTTTTGTTTTAATTTATTTGAAATACCTGTAGTGAACCTTTTTCTACTAGTGCCAATGAAAACTGCCTCTTCTCGTAGTTTCAAAATTATCTACAGCAGATTAAAACATTACACGGTAAAAGTGCCATGTTGCTGCTCTCTAGAGGAGCCAGAAATGTAAGATGATGTGGCTGTAGATTAGCAGTCAACCGAGTACCATTTTAACTAATTGGAAACCGTTCTCCAAGGTCATTTATTTTTTTTTATTTTTATTTTTTTTAGGAAAAATATTTTAATATTGCTATTCGCTCTTTCTCTATAATAGATCCAAGGTCATTTATAATCTCAGTTTCTAAGTTGCTTGCTGTACCTGTCACCTTTTTAGCAAGGTAAGTGAAGCTAGGATGGCAACAGTCTGTGCAGCATTGTGGATGCAGCAGGTTCCTTCCTCTCACTGTAGGTCACAAAACCATGTTAATTATTCCATCAATGCAAATGTCTACTCTGTGATAGGCCCTGGGGTTGGGAAGGTGAAGACTACATCCTTGTTCACAGTGAAGTGGCAGGTGACAGAAAAGGGAAAAGTGAATGGGATGAAGTGCATCAACATTTTTTTTTTTTAAGGACATCATTGTTTTTTAAATATATTTTTATTTCAGAGAGGGAGAGAGAGATAGAATCATCAATGATGAGAATCATTGATTAGCTCCCTCCTGAACCCGCCGCCCCTACTGGGCACGTGCCCTGACTGGGAATCGAACCTTGACCTCCTGGTTCATAGGTTGTCGCTCAGTCACTGAGCTATGTCAGCCGGGCTTATCAAATCTGTTGATGCTGTGGGCTGGTCATGCCCCTCATTTAGATAAGCCTGCCCTCATATCATATCCAGATTAAATTCTTTTAGAAATAATAAGAAAGTCCCCTATGTGCTTTAGTGAAGATGAGGAGTCAGGAGAATTGGCATGTTTCCTTGCTGCTAGTAAAACAGGTTTGAGGGAGGTTATGTCATCATCTCCTGACAGGTGGCACAGCGGGGCAGGCTTTCCTCTGGAGCACCAGAGGGCATGCATTTATACTGAGACCACAGGAGCTTTTCTGGAGGGGAGGACGGCTGTAGTTTTACGCCGGGATTTAAATATTAGTAAGTAGATCTAAGCATTAGAAAAAGTAAAACACTAGTATTAGTTACCTGTACTAGGCAGTGACTGTATCACACCTTCTTTAGTGGATTGTATTTCCTTGTAGAGTTAAAAGGATGCCTTCCTAGAGTCAGGGAATGACCAAAATGGATTGGCCTTCTCTCTGACAACCATCTGGGGGGTAGTGGTTGTGTTATAACTTGAGATGATCACGTTCAATTAAGCTATGAGGCATGACAGGATGCATACTGTTAAGAGCAAGTTTGACGCTCTGGTAAGTGTGAATGAAAGCCTGAGAGTTGCCAATCTGATGAGGTGTTAAGACACCTTTTCTGAAATTTGCCCTAAGAGGTAAAGGAGTAGGCTTCACCATCTGAATATCATGTCTGCATGATAGAACTTAACCTGTTGTGCACGTAGAGTCTATCTTTGCTTTTATAAAATCTATATAAAATCTGCTATTAAATGTTGGGCCCTCAAATTCTAAGTACAGGGTTTATTTCTTTACTCCAGTTAATGGTGCTCATGGACATTCATAGCTTTTCCCAGTGAGGCTCACGGCTTGGCCCTCTCTTCTGTTAGTGACTCGGGGCTCTAGCATCCTCTCCTAGGACTGCTGGGCATCTTCTCTCCATAACCCTTGCAGTGGTCATTCGCATGGCTTCCTGGCCACTGATGGCGGTGCAGCCGTGTTCTGTGTTTCTGGGATTGTGTTTCTTAGGTGAAGAGGAAGGAGGTATGTCTAGCTAGCAGTCAGGTCTGAGAGATCTGCCCCCGAACGCCGCCCATCCAGCTTCCTATCACCTCTGAATACCCACTTTTATCAACACAAATCTCAGAGTTAGGAGGCTGAAAATAAGGTGGGGTGTGACTTATCTTATTTTTGTTACTTAAAAGCCAGCTTGCCATTTCGTGTGTATGCCCTTGGGTGTGTCAAGCCATGATTTAGAGCTTGGGTCCTCCTAATTCCCTTAATCAAATTCTGAGCAGTGCATTTTGCTGATTACAGTCCAGACTCAGAGTTCCTGCCAGGCCACAGCCCCGCTCCTGGTTTCTTTTATGTATCCTCAAAATATTTTAAACAGACATGCTATGGCAGCGATTTCTAACCCAATGGGAATCAGTTTAAATGGGAAAACACTGGAGGTGCATTCACTGCTTGTTCTCTGCTCTCTTCCGGAATTGATGTGTTCGACTCGACTACCTGGGTATTGGTCGGTGACTTCTGAGCCCAGTAGAACAGACGTTCATAGACATTTCCATCGTAACAGCCAAGTGCTGAATTTAAACACTGATCTGTGAAGTCGAAAGCATCCGTTAACGAGATGGCATCCTTCCTGAGAGAAAAAAAACAAGAGTTTGTGAGTACTGTAGACTGCTCATGAATCTGATTATTCTGGAATGGTGAACAACACCTAATTAGAGGTTGCTTCATTATTCACCTTCGAACAACTCAGCTTTAATTTTTTTCGAAGTTTTTATATTTGATCAGTTATGTATGCACAGCATAAAGAATCAGATACTTCTTTGAGGTTATTTAAAATGAGCATATCCTGTTCTCTCACCTCCATTTCCTAAACATCCCCCCACTGCCCCCAGAGCAATCAGTTTCAGTCTTTTAACTGATATTTTTGGTTTTAACCTGAACGTCTCTAAGTAACTTGTTTATATTTCTGTTTCTTGCTGGTTCACTCGTGGACATTATCTGTTGACTCTCTATTACAACAGATGAGGATTTACTTTTAGCACCTTCTTCTGACCCCAACCTATGCTTCCTCCTCCTCACCTTCCTGCCTCCCAATATAGCTATGATTTTGGCCAGACTAATACTCAGTGCTTAAAGTAGTATGACTGTACGTATCTCTCTATATAAAAGCCTAAGCGACCATTACAGCCAGACAGCCAGACGGCTGGTAGCTATGATGCACACTGACCACCAAGGCAGACACTCAATGCAGAAGCTGCGCCCTGGTGGTCAGTGCGCTCCCACAGCCAACCTCCTGTGGCCGGCCAACCTCCCGTGGTCCCTCCCCCCGGCCGGCTGGCCCCGATTGGCCCTGATCACTGGCCAGGCCGAGGGACCTCACCCGTGCACGAATTCGTCCATCAGGCCTCTAGTCTTATATATGATTATGACTTTATGCATCCTGTTCACGGCTGAGCTAGGTCCCCACCACATCTCCTTGTTGCAGTGACCTACCTCCAGGCTCACTGTCCTCTCTCCAACACTGCTGTTGTTAATCCTTAGTGATTTCACTGTCTATGTAGATGTTCCTCTAAAGCTCAACTCCTCAGTTCTTTGAATCTCCTGCTCCATTGACCTCGTTCTACAGCCTCCCTCGGTCATCTTTGCCACAATCAGACACCAGGACTCATCATTAGCTTCTGCAACTTCTCTGTGATCTCAGCCATGTTTCCTTCTCTGCTCCTGTCTTCCTAGCTTATTCCCTTTAGTATTCTGACTTCTATCTTCCTTTTTCCCTTTCAAGCAACAAACAATGTTTTATTTTAATCCCACTGAATGAAATAGTTTCTAAAAAGTATTCACACGCTTTCCTACCTTTTTAGCAAAGGATGTAAAACACAATATGCGATTATTTGTTTAAACTCTTCCCTGACTTGTTTCAAAAAGCATTTGAGGTGACTGGGATACTGGACCTATTTCAGTTCTTTCTGGCTGACCCTATGTCATCATTATGAGGTGATTTCATGTAGGGCTGTTGATCATTCTGTGACCCCACTGGCACCTACCAGTAGGTCCCTCAGCCCCCTGGTGGTCTCACTTTCCTCCTTATCCCACTGAAATTTCGTGGCTTGTTATGTTACCTCCTCAAAAATATATTCAACAACTTTTCTTGCCTTGGTTTTTGGCAAAACCCCATCCCTGATTATCTTTAATTTTCCACAGACTTTGTGCTACCACCTTTGTAGCTATGGCTGGAAAAACCAATACTGACTGGGGTCATAGGGTTTATGGGGGTCCTTATGGTTGCCCAACAATCCTATTACATTGCTCTAATTCATTTACTCTTTTATTCTCTTAGGTGATGTTTTGTACTTTGTCTTCTATCCTCAAATCTAATTTCTCCATTTCCCCATCTCTTTTACCTAAATCACTTTGCTTCCTGTTCCACTGATAAATAAAAGTGGTAAGAGCATTCCCACCCATGCATTTATCCACACAGTGCTTTTCTCTTCATAGTATAGGTCAACTGCCCAGGCTCCCTCCTGAGGCCAGTCCTTCCTTGTCTACTAGGGAGCAGTGTTCCAGAAATTCTCCTGCCTTTCCCACACTCCCCTCTCTACTGGATCACTTCCATCAGTATACAAACATGCTACCAGTTCTCCCCTCTTAAAAGTAAGCCTTTGACTCCTCCCAGCACCATCCTCTACCCCATATCTTGGCTCCTCTTTATGACATTCTTTAAAGTGCTATGCTCACGTATGCCTGGTGTTTCCACTTCTTTTTGCTGTTCTCCTGGACTAGATCCATACAGGTTTCCACTCCCACCACCCCACTGACGTATCTCTTGTCATGGGTCACCCCAGCCTCATCTTTGGAGGGGCCCAAGACTCAGTGTTTGGGCTTCTTCCCTTCATACTCTCATCCTTGTGATATCATCCTTCTCATGCTTTAGATACCAGCCATAGGCCAGTGACTTCCACATTTCTCTCTCCAGTCTCACTTGCCTGCTTACTAATGTTTTACCTGATTTCTAACAGGCTCTTTAAACTTAACGTGTTCAAAACCAAATCCTGAGCTTCTAGCTTTCTCCTGTCTAACCTGCCCAGACCTGCCCTCCTATAATCTTTCCCATTTAATGGCAACTCTGTCCTGGCCAAAAACCTGAACTCCTCTCTGCCTATTCCACCCCAAATCTAACCTGTCAGCAAGTCCTGTTTTATCTTCAAAGTATATTCTAGCTCTACTTTCTCCCACCACCTCCAATGCTGTCACCCTGGTCCTGTCCACCACCCTCTCCCACCTGGATCATTGCAGCAGCCTCCTCGCTAGTCTCCCTGTTTTGCTCCCTTGTCCCCCATCCCCACTCAGTTCTTAATCTGGCTGCTGGAATGATCCTTTGCTCTGTGCTATGCTCAGAACCCTCCCGTTCTCACACTAAGTAAAAGCCAGAGTCTTAAGTCTTTGCCGTGATCCACACCCCCTCCCTTGCCCCTCTCAGTACACCCTAACTTTCCCACCTCTACTCTCATTCCCCACCTCAGTCACGCCCCTCCAGCCCCTGTTCTCTGGATGGACGTGCCAAGCATGCTCTGGCCTCCACCATTTCTACTTACTCTCTGCTTGGATGCTCTTTTCCCAGCCGACCACATGGCTCCTCTCACCTGCCCCCTGCAGATTATTCCTCAAACGTCACCCTCCCTGGGTGGCCTTTGACCTATTTAAAATAATAGCCCCCCCGCCAGCCCCTTTCCTTTCCTGCTGTCCTTTTCTTAGTAGCATTTATCACTATTCCAAACACTGTGTCTTTGACTTATATATATATTTTTTTAAAATATATTTTATTGATTTTTTACAGAGAGGAAGGGAGAGAGATAGAGAGTTAGAAACATCGATGAGAGAGAAACATCGATCAGCTGCCTCCTGCACATCTCCTCCTGGGGATATGCCCGCAATCCAGGTACATGCCCTTGACCGGAATCGAACCTGGGACCTTTCAGTCCACAGGCCGACGCTGTATCCACTGAGCCAAACCGGTTTCGGCTTTGACTTATATTTTATGTCTGTGTTTGTCTCCTCTCCTCTAGGCTGTAAGCATTTGTGCCCTTTCATATCCCTCAATTGAAGAGTATCTTCTGTAATCATTTTATTAATGATCTGCTCCCTTCTGTTTTCTCTGTCTCCTCTTTCTCAACCTTTTTTTCAGATGATGGACAGGATCAGACCTCTTACTATTTTTTTTCTCTTCTGTTTTTGTCTTTTTGCTTTCTTTCTGAGGGTTCTGCAATTTTATCTTTCAATCCTTCAAGTTTTTCATTTCCATCTCATTTTTTAATTTCATAGAGCGCTTGTTTTTTGTTCTCTGTTACTTTTTAAGAAATGAAATTCTTATTTTATGGTCACAGTATCTCCTCTTAACTCTTTGAAGATATCACTGATTCTTTTTTTGACAGTAATATGTTTTGTTTTTATGTATTTTTAAAATTACAGTTAACGTACAATATGTTTCATGTATACGATGTAGTGATTAGACATTTAACATATGAAGTGATCACCCTGATAAGTCTAGTACCATCTGACACCATCATGGTTATTACAATACTAGAGGCTCGGTGCACAAAAATTTGTGCACTCGGGGGGGTGGGGGTGTCCCTCAGCCTGGCCTGTGCCCGCTCGCAGTCTGGGACCCCACGGAGGATGTCCACCTGCTGGCTTAGGCCCACTCCCGGGGGTTCAGGCCTAAGCTGGCAGTCAGACATCCTTCTGGCAGCCCGGGAGCCCTCGGGGGATGTCCACTTGCCAGCGGGGAGCAGACCTAAGCTGCAGTCTGACATCCTTAGTGCTGCTGAGGAGGCTGCTGTACTGGCAGCCGTCAGCCTGGCTTGTGGCTGAGCAGAGCTCCCCCAGTGGGAGAGCACTGACCACCAAGGGACAGCTCTTGCATTGAGTGTCTGCCCCCTGGTGGTCAGTGTGTGTCATAGTGACAGTCATTCCCAGTTGTTCTGCTGTTAGGGTCAATTTGCATAGTGCCCTTTTATTATATAGGATCATTTTTATTTATTTTTATAAATCTCCTTTTTTTTTAAAAAAAAATTACTGATGTTTTAAAAAAAGTTTTCTCTTCCCTGAAAATTCTCTTATGTCTTTCAAGTTGCCTCATTCTTGCTTGCTTTGGTCTCTTTCATGTCAGGGGCTTTCCTCAGGTGTCTGGTCATAGCTAAGAGTGGGGCATTAATTAGCTGATTAGAAGTCTAGTTGTGCTTGTCAGTGTGGGTGAATTGGGGAACCCTGTGCTGGTCAGATTCCCTAGAGGAGGATCATGTTAGGGAACTAGCCTGGCTGCCCACTGTGGGAACCTTGGGAAAAGAGGGCTGGGGAGGGGCTCATCAGCACGCTTTACTGAAGCCCCTGTGTTCTGCAGGGCAGCCTCATCCCCAGGTGTTTACCTTCTGCCAGGGTGGGGCCAAGCAAAGCCTTAAAACTGCTCAATGAGGAGGGGAACTGGGGACTCAGCTCTTTCTGAAACAGACTTTCAACCCATCCTATCAGTCAACTTTACCCCCACTGCCAGAGGCACATGGTCCTCCGGTTCTTGGGTGTAACTTGGTTGCTTTTCCCACTTGTAGGGAATGATTCACCTTTCTCGGGTCTGCTAAGTCACTGTTTGTCCATCTACTTCCAATTCTCATGCTTCTTCTCCTCTGAGCGTTTTTTTCTTTGTGGGCTTATGCCTTGTAAAAAATTTAACATTTGCTGATGTTTTAGTGAGGCTTCAGGAGGGAACAAAGTAAATGCGTATGTTCATCTGCCGTCTTTACCTGGAAGTCCCCCAACTGAGATTTCACGATCACGCGAATAAAAACTGTTTGGGTCAGTCAGCTACCATTACACAGAGAGCTGGTTTTCAGTGTCGCTTAGAATCATGTGCCGTCCTTCCTTTGTCATCTCAGAAATCTGAGGGTGATGCTGGGTAGTCAAGGCTGGGCACTGGGACACGGACTGTTAAAAGCATGGAGTTCTTACACACCTGATTATCCTGCACTGGTAGGAAGGTGACTTAGGAACCGTAATGTGAGTAAATCAATTTGTGGGCTTGATGCCTGCATTAGTTGTCTGTTTGCATCCGGGCTGTTTTGACTTGCACTGTATATTTCTCGAGTCAAGTCAAGCACTTAGAAATGCTGTTGCCGATAAAAATCATGCTGATGAGGTGTTAAGGTGATCTTTTGTGTTTCATCATCACTATCAGGGCTAGAACATTACTGTCGTCATGTGCTTTTAAAATGCCAAGCTTTTTTAAAATTAGAGATACTTGGGCTTAATGCAGTACTCAATTATGCTATTAATGGTTTCTATCACTGGATTCCCAATTATATTAGGAAAAGTTTAATACTTGAGTAATAATTTTATCAAATATATTTTTGATGGTTTAATTGGACATTTACTGACCACCAACTTATCTGTGAGGTGCTTATGTGGAGTTATAAATGGTATGCAACATAGTGCATATTATTATAAATAAAATAATTTGGTCTAGTTTTTTCTTTTAACCTCCATTATGAATATATTATTTTTTTAAATTTCAAAAATATATTTTTTAAAATTCTCTTAGTCTTGTTGATAATGTGAACTCTTGGAGATTCTAGGGGTAAAAGTCACACAACTGTGTGTATAACCCCTTCACCCCCAATACCACAGGCATCATATGTTCTCAAAAAAGTTGTGTTCTCAAGTTAGCCCATTTTTCATGTTATGAACAACGGTGACTAATTTGGAGGTTGATGCTCTATCCACTGAGCCAAGCTGGCCAGGGCAAGACTAATTTGTATTGTTTTAAAAAAATATATATTTTTATTGATTCCAGAGAGGAAGGGAGACGGGGGGAGAGAGAAATATCGATGAGAGAGAATCATTGATTGGATGCCTCCTGCACACCCCACACTGGAGATCGAACCTGCAATCCGGGCATGTGCCCAGACCAGGAATTGAACCATGACCTCCTGGTTCATAGGTTTACACTCAACTACTGAGCTATGCTGGTTGGGCCATTGATTTGTTGTTCCACTTATTTATGCATTCATTGGTTGTTCCTTGTATGTACCCTGACCAGGGATCAGACCAACAACTTTGGTGTATCAAGACTACCCAGCCTGGGCTGTTTTGATACGGTTTATATCATTGCATCCATAGTATGTCATAACCCTAAACTGCACTGCATTAATGTTGCATTTAAAAACTATTTGTGTTATTACTATTTGTGTTATTGTTTCGCAAATGAGTATATGAATTACTAGGTTTTAAAAAAAATCCCCTCTTGAAGCTAAGGAAGGATTAAAATAAGAGTTTGCTTAAGCACATTGAACAAAGACAAGGATATAGGATTTGAATAAACAAGAGCCCAACCTTAACATACAGCTTAACACATTGCGGGCGGATCACGAGCATTCTCATGTTTTCATATTACAGAGTTTTACATAAATGTTAAAGGCATGCCTTACAATTAAATACCCATTGCATTTTGAAGTTATTTATTACATGTTCTTGCAAGCTAATATCTTTTTAAAATACACTTTGTAAAACGTTTTTTGTACTCGTTCAATAGAAACTTATCTGGCCACTGGGTAAAGCTAGTAATGAAACTACTGGTGCGCAATGTGTTAAGAGCTCATGCTCTGGGGTCAGGCCCCAGACTGTACCTGGCTCCTCCTCTGGCTAATGATGTGACTTTGGACAAAGTACTTAAATCTACTAAGCCTGGGTTTCCTCCCCAGTAAAGTGGGGAGAGTAATAGTATCCACTTCAGAAGGCTGTAAGGCTTCCATGATGTGATGGCCTAGTGCCTGGCACGCATAAGTGCTCCTTAAATATTAGCTGTGCCTAGGACTCATTAATACATATTATTCATATGTAATAGGCTTCATTTTACTCATATTACTTAGATACTATTCCTATTTCCTTGACAGTGGTGAAGAGTTCTTAGGCATTTTTATTTGTTTTTCCCAGTTTTTAATTAACCCATAATGCTTTCTGTTGGTGTGATAATGCTCGGGTGTGAACCTCTCCAGGGCTGTGGCCGCTTTTGTCAGACCCCATTTAACAAGGTTTTGGAGCTGAAAGTTTTGGAGTTTGACGTGACCAAAGGGTGAAGGGATATTTTCTGAGGACTCCCACTCACCGGATGAGGAAGAGCAGGTCCAGGTAGGCTGATCTCACCATGTCTACTTGGGCCCCAGACAGGAAGCCATCCTGGAGAAAGTCGCCCGCGGTAGACAGGATGCCATGCAAAGCAAAGAGATCACAGAGGCGCTGCAGGGCCTGCTGAATGGCTGGTTCGTGGTCGAGTTTCTGCAGAGCTTCTGCGAAACCCTTCACAGTGATGTAGTAGCAGTGCGCCTACAGGGACACAAAGGTGCGTTAGCCTCTCGCTCCGATTTCTGGCTCCAGGTGCCCTCCTGGGAATGCGCCTGCTGCAGCGTGTCTCCCGGCAGGCTGACAAGCCACTGCCTTTCTCCCAGCTCCCTGTGGGTCTTACCGAGCCCTTTCGATAGTGTGTGGGTGCACCTGTGTGTGTTGGGGGCTGGTGGGCTCTGGAACATGGCCCTTAGTTTTTTCATTTTGCTTGGGGCAATTTTTAAAAAAATATGTATGTTTATTGATTTCAGAGGAGAGAGAGGGATAGAAACATCAATGATGAGAGAGAATCATGGATTGGCTGCCTCTTGCACACCCCACACTGGGGACCCAGCTTGTAACCTGGGCATGTGCCCTGACTGGGAATCAAACCGTGATCTCCTGGTTCATAGGTCGACACTCCACCACTGTGCCACACTGGCTGGGCTGCTTGGGGCAATTTCAAGTAGGTTTGAAAGTCGAAAGTACAGGAGAATTAGAGGCTGGCCTGGGGACAGTGGAGGACACCACTTGTCTCAATAAATACTGTTTTCTTGTCTGCACGTTCAAGGCAGTAGGAGATGTATGGGCACGTATGCTGTGAATGAGAAAGGAGGGGTTCAGTATGTACATGAAATCCATCCCAGCTAGAGAGGAACTCCTTGAGGTAAGCAGTGCTCTCATTTAGCCCATACGCAGCAGTCTGGCAGTAAAATAACCAGTTGGTAAGTGCCCACTGACCTCAACCAGGCAAGAGCCCTCTGCCAGCCAGGCTCCTTCTCTGGGTCCCCCGTTCTCCACAGCCCAGCAACTACAGCGTTAGTGCCTGGCCCAGCAGGAGCCTCTCAGGACTCTGCTTTCCCTGAAATCCTTTGGGCTGCTTGGTGTCCCTGCCCTACTCTCCCCAAGACACATGCACAACTGGTTTGACCTGGTAGGATGTGAGGTCCATGGGGAAAGCAGAAAGGAGAGCATGCCCGCCGAGGTGGCTCAGTTGGTTGAGCGTCAGTCTCATGCCAGTGGGTTGGAGTCCAGTAAGGGCACATGCCTGGGTTGTGGGTTCGATCCCCCAGAAGGGGGCGTGCAGGAGGCAACCAATCCTATGTTTCTCTCAATGTTTCTCTCTCTCTCCCTCCCCCTTCCTCTCTGAAGTCAATAAAACATATTTAAATAAACAAACTAGGTCTCAAATGTTTATTTGCATATGGATTACCTGGCAGTGACTTTTAGAAGCAGGCTTAGAGTGTCTTGAGGGTTCAAAGGTGTTTACCCAAGGGGGAAAGGAATGGGTCATTCCAGGCTCATGTGCAAAGGGCCATCCTTTCAGGAGGCAGCAATTTAACCCGACTGAGCACTGGAGTGTAATGCAATGAGAGGCCCTCAGGTGATGAAGGGCTGTGAATGACAGGTTGGGATTTAATTCTGTGGGCATCCGGCAGCCACTAAAGTCTTCAACATGCCAGAGATCTGAGCAGGTTTTTCACTTGGAAAGAATCTGCCTTTCCCAGAGAGGCCTCACAGGGGTGCTAATGGCACCGGTTTACCACCTGGGCCTGTGCTCTCAGCCTTGCTGGGTTTGCAGCATTTGGATGTGGAAGAGGAGCGGGTTGCTCTGCCGGGTCCTACAGCCCTCGCTGCTCAAACTGGAGACTTACCTTTTTCACCTAGGCCCCGCTTCCCTATTCTAACCTGAGTGCCATGTCCTGAAGTTCTCAGGGCCTGGGGCTGAGGAAGGAGTGATGAAGAGCTGCCTGAGAGCCTCTCCCTGGGGAAGCAGGAGGAGGGCCAGAGAGAGAAGGTGGCCTCCACGCTTCGGGGAAGGCGGAGCACAGTGAACTTCGTTAACTTCACTGCAGGTTGATTTAAATCTTGCCTCCTGGCTAATGTGGGAGTGGAGTGGAGGTATCTATACACTAGGTACCTCTCTAAATGTTCCATGCATTAACTCATCTAATCATAATAATCTTCCAAGGTAGGTACTGTTATCAGCTCCATTATGCAAATGAGGAGACTGAGGCATGGAGAGGTATGTTCCTTGCCCAAGGTCACATGGCTGGTAAGTGGTAGCAACGAGATCCAAACCGGGGCATTCACCTCCCAGCTACGAGTCTGTACTCTTTATCTAAAAGGAAATTAATTTGTTTTCCAATTACAGCTGACATACAACATTATATTAGTTTCAGGTGTACAACATAGTGATCAGACATTTATATACCTTACGAAGTGATCACCCCAGTAAGTCTAGTACCTATCGGACACCACGAGTTATTACAGTATTACTGACTACACTCCCTATGCTGTACTTCACATCCCATGTAGTCTGTGTTCTGTTTTAATCCTCACCCGAGGATATTTTCCATTGATTTTTTAGAGAGAGAGTGGGAGAGAGATGGAAAGAGAAATATCGATGTGAAAGAAATTAATTGGTTGCCTCCTGCATGCACCCTGACCAGGGGCCAGACCCGGGAGAAGCCTGCAACCAAGGTACATGCCCTTGACCAGAATTGAACCTGGGACCCTTTTGTCTGCAGGCCGATGCTCTATCCACTGAGCCAAACCAGCTAGGGCTAGCCTCTGCCCTTAACTGCTGCCCTGAGTTGCCAAAACCACCAGAGGCTGAGTGCCAGCATTTGCCCCAGGTTCCTGGGGACGACGTCTCTCCTGGGCAGGGCTGAATGGTGGGATCAGAGCCCATCAGGCCTCAAGGGCTCTAACCTGGTGATAAAGACAGGAGAGTGAGAGCCCAGAGAGGATAGGACTGCCTGAGGTCACACTCTGCTCTGTGTCCACCCCTCTGCCACTGTTCCCTGCTCCTCCCCTGGTGCTCTCCCTCTCTCCCTGCACCCTTGTGGTTTCCACATGGCACACTGTTGGGAGCTTGATGGCCTCCCAAACCACAAAGCCCCGAAAGTGCAGACTTCCCTGTCCATTATGACTTTGGAGACAAGGCAAAACCTCCCAGGAAGCCCTGGGCTGGTTGAGCTCACCCTTGTCACCCCTCATTGATGCGCAGTGGCTCCTTGGGGGAATAATGAAAGGAAAGCATCTTCACTAGCCATTTCCTACCTCTGGGACTAATGCCCCCGAGTTCTCTGTCCACATCCGTGGAACAGAGGTTATGCTACTCTTCTTCCAGGGTTGTGTGTATGAAACGAGGTAACCCTGGCAAACAGTGTCCGGTCCATTTGAAGGCAGGACAGGTTTGGAAAGTGGGCAGCTGTGGTTTTTATGGTAGGCTGGTGAGAGCTCAGCCTTGGCTCTCCCTCCTCTGTGTTGACAGGACATTTAGCACATGTGGCAGAGTTAATACCGCACCTGCCAGTGATGGAGGTGGCGGTCACCAGGTGGCGCTCATGTCCAGCCTGCCCTGTGCCGGCCCTGCAAACTCCTCCAGAGCTCTCTTGTTTTAAGGCTGCTGTTTTCTGGGCCTAATGGATGATGATTGAAATGATCCCTTTGATTTTCTAGCTGTGTCAGCTGGAACTCATTTTTATTTTCTTTTATCCCCTTGATAGCTCTCATCTAGCCACTTCTCTCTATGCCCTCTGCCAAGTTCCTGGTCAGGGCCACCCTCAGCCCTCACCCAGACTGCTACTACCTGCTTCTAACTGGCCACCAGCCTGCAGTCCATCCCTCCCCCTGCAGGATCCTTCTAGAATGAAACTGATCAGTTCACTCCCCCTCCATACAAACTCTGCAGTCTTCCCTTTGCAACGAAAACAGCCCCAACTTCTCACAATGGTGTAGAAGGCCCCAGGCCCTGCCTGTCTGTCCTGTCCCCCCTTTCTCCCTCTCCTCATTTCAGTCTTCTTCTTTTCGCTCCTCCTTGGGGAGAATTTGCATTCCTCCTGATCACCACACCTTTTCTTGCCTCCTCTTTCACTTGCTGTTCCCTCTGCCCGGAAACCTTCCTCTCCAAAGCCACAGCCTCTACCCTCTGCCTGGCTGATTCTAGCTTATCCTTGAAGTCTCGGCCTATATGCCTCCTCTGGGAAGCCTTTCGGACCCCACAGGGTGGTAGAGGCGCACCTGCCCCAGATCCTGTCAGCCTGCATCTCCATCACAGCACTCCCTGGATTGCCACTGCGATCGGACACTGCTGTGCCCCCAGGACCCAGCCTGATGCCCACTGTTAAGTGGGTGCTCAAATATGTGCTGGCTGCTGTGAATTATGCACAAACACAAAACACAGTGGAAATTCAACCAGACTTCTAAGGCTTGCCTGCGGGACAAACGAGGAGGCTTGACGTGCTTTTCTACCTGGGAGGAAATATTTGAACAACCTGAAGCAAATCCAATAACACCGCCTCATTACGTTTTCCCTAAGAGCTGCCAGCAAGATTGCTCTGGAGTTAAGTCCTCTAATTAAAATACCTGGGACTGAAGTCTTGGAAGTGGAATGAGGGCAGCCGCTGGGAGGGCTAGGGAGTAGGGGCAGAGCGCAGGTCTCCCCAGCAGGCAAGCCTTTCCGCTTCCGCGGACCGCAGCTCACCTTGGCAGCCTGCAGGTGGATGACGGTGGTCTGGTTCCATGCCTCGTGCTCGTCAGCCCCAGACTGCAGCCGAGTCTGCAGGTGATGCGCCGAGTCCTTTATGAGCCTGGAGGCCAAAGACAAGAAGTTCAGCGTGACCAAGTGGGAAAGAGACGGGTGGTGCCCAGACCCTCAGAAGTAGAAATAATCCCCAGTTATTAAGCACGATGTGTTACAAAGGTGAACGCTCCATATACATGACCTCTTCAACTCTTCTAAGGGCAGGCATCCCCAGTTGGCGGTGGGGAAACCTGAG